TGGGCCTGTACATTTTCTATAGGTTTACTTTCTCTTATAAATATTAATCGAAAGAAATAGAATTTCAAATAATTAATAGAAAAGACACATGAAATACTGTTTCAAAAAATTGTTCCCAATACATCTTAAGAAAATACTATTTCAATTAACAGTTTTCTTTATCACATCGTAAATAATCATTTTCAATACATATATACTTAACTTCTATGACGTAAAATAAATCTTGAAATATTATTTCATACAAACAAGAGTATTTCATTAACAATTTCCAATACTTTTTCAAATATCTTTACCCAGGTCTAATCGATAACATATAATATTTGATGACATATGTACTACCATCCTAGAGTTTGTCATAAAATGACATGTGAGAACAATATGAGAATTACGCCATTTTATTATCGAGGTTCTGGTTTTACCCCGCGTTCTTCTACCCTTGTCTGAAACTTCGATACAATAATCGAGCCAAATTGATTCGAGGCGCCGATGAAAGGAGTAACGAGGGGCGAGGTGTCGAATGAAGAATGAGAAGAAAATAGAGCGTTGATGACGGTCTCGTATTCAAATGACCTCCGAGGGGCGGAATGGGTTCCAACAACTAACTGCGTGACCCATCATCGTTGGCCCGGAGGTTCGAATATCTTTCGGTGGCGCGTTCACCCTCTCTTGGTTCAAACTCCGACATCGTGTCTCGTCGCGCAAACACCTGGGGTGCCCGAGATAAGTTATGAAACCTGTCTGTTCCGTGCCTCGTGGGCTTCGCACGAAGATTTTCCTGTTTCAGGGAGCCGTGTTTGCGCCTCGCAACAAAACAAAAACTATATGACACGGGCAAATATTGAAAAAGCGGTACTAGCACTCGTTGGAGGTGAAACGCGACGCAAACATGGGGGTTTTCTACCGTGAAACGCGTTTTTCTTGTACTCTTCGCATTTTTTATTTAAAAAAAAGCTACACAAAGCTATACAAAGCTTGTATGAAGGAAGATCATCAAAATTGATGACTCTTTCATCGTTTAGAGTAATTTCTTCTTCATCATTTGTTCAACTATCGCTTTCTATACGGTTTCTTTCGGTGGTTTTTTGAAATTGTCTTTTTCGGTTTAGCATTATAATAAGAACCTCCAAGGAAACAATAACACGTAAAATATTAAGAAATTTTAAGGGTAACCCTTCAATCTCAAACTTTCATTTCAATTTTAAACTTCATGTGAATGCACTTCACAACAGCATTTATGAAAATAATTGTAGACTTATCTTTAACACTTTAATGGCCGCACGTCTATGCAGCTAAACGTCGCCAGGGGCCGGCAATATTTTTGAAGAATTAATTTAAAACAACTTTATGTAAATTCATGAAATAATTCAACATGGGCAAACGTACACATAAAACAAAAAAAAACAGCAACAACAATGACAACACATTTATTTACAACAAATTTAATATTTTTCCTTTTTGCGATAATTATTAAAGCAATCACCCAGATGTAACGGTACTTGGCAAATACGTAGGTTTCCTAATTTTATTCGCATAGCAAACACGACAATCCCTTCGTACATCCTTTTTTATTACTGATATTTTAACTAATTGACGTTTTATTCCACCGGCTAATCTTTCAACTAGATGGGGACGGACGACGCGAGATGTAGCAGGATCACCGTCATTAGTTTCAATCAACGCCCTTGCTAATTTAGGTAAAAAATCGTGGTAATTTAATTTCCGAATGGGATCAGTATTCAAATGTTCATATATACGAAACGGGTTAAATATGGCACAATTTATTAAATAGAAAGGAAATTTCTTCGTCCATTTTTTTGTTTTTCCAATAACCTTCGGCGATAGTATCACACACGTTGAGTGAGCGGCCATTGAAGTGTCAAGATGTTTTTAATATAATCGAACTTCTTTAAAATCTTTTCGCAACGTATTTTACAAATAGATTTGCCCATGGCGACGCTAGACTGATCTGAACGCCAGCAAGCACACGCGTCGATGCGACACTCTTTGAGGGGGGACATCTTTTGAAAACGACCCGAATGTTAATACAAGAAACGAAACATCTGCCTTCC